GGACAGTTTAATTTCTTCCTACAAGTTATTATTAGATGGGCTTCGAGAGCCTGTCATGTGTGTAAAGAGACCATCAGGGACTCGTGGGCTATTTGCTTGTCCATATATATAGGGTTTGTGTACCATTTGATCTTATGTGGTTTGTGCGCATAATAGGGCTGTTGTAACTATACATTGTATGACATGTATACTCTGTGCACCTGTGTTCTCTAGTAGCCACCAGTGTTTGGTTAATTCACTGTCTCATTGCCTTGTTCTTTTTTCACCTCTAATTGGTAATCTACTGCAATCTCTTTATATAGAGTTGATTCATTTCCGGCCTGGCCCTGCGTGGAGCACAGGATTTGTCATATAACACACATGACCAAGTCTTTTAACTTTCCCCGTGCTTATCTTCCCTGTACCATGCAAACATTAACCCCATTCTATGTTCTTCGACCTGTGTTATGTAATGTACATACAAAGAGTTTTTAACTAACGACGTTCCAGTTGTTGCAACGGGGCTCTCAGATTTCAGCGTGGAATGAAAGCAAGTGAGGATGCACTTGGTGTTTGATAGTCGAGCTGTCTTGTGACAAAAACTAGAGCAGCTTTACTGTTGACACATACGCACCATTCCTCGCGAAACCACTTTTCAGAATATAACCAAAGAGACATTCATTGTTGGTGCAAACGGATCCAAGAGAAAAGCAAGCGATGCTGCGTACTTGATTGGCTGCCTCCTGTTATTACTCGAGGTGCATGACATGTACATTATGTTTGCATTTCATCCTCTACGGTTCGCTGGGGGTGTTCAGCACTTAAAGTCTTGTAGAGACTGGAGCTGGAAACAACTTTATGTGGGTGGTGAAGTTTAAACTACCTCAATCAGGCTGGGGATTATCATCGAACATCCCTCACGTCATTGTCGGACTCTCAGGACGATTATATCCTCAGAGAACATGGTGAAAGAGTTTGTCTAGTTAACCAAACTCTTACTTCACTTAAGTCTTACAATGGACTCGGCCTAGAAGTGTAAAGTGGTGTGGTAGTGAAAGTTTATGACATTTTGGCTGGTGTAAATATGGCTCCCACCTTCATGCGTACATTTTTTTTTCAAGATACTACCTGTGTAGGGCAGTTGCATGCTATTTCGTTTAGCGTTTGTTCTTTGAGACTAGCTAATGTACAGTGAAAAGCCCAATTAATTTTTAGACATAGGCAAGAAGCCTATTTGCCCGGCATCAGCAATTTCTACCTTTACCATTTTGGCAAATTAGCCCCCTCCGTCATACGACAACTATATTGGGTTGCTGTTGGGGGTCTGGAGCATTATTGGTAATAGGAACACACATTGACGTAATACAGTGGTCCCCCAAAAGAGGAGCAAACTAGCAAAAAAAACAAAAAAAACAAAACAAAAACCAAATACAAAAAACCGGAAAATAAAAACATAAAAAATGAAAAAAACAAAATAAAACACAAGACAAAAAATAAAAAATAAAGAAACACCAGAAACGAAAAAACAAAAAAAAAAAAACAAAAAAAAAAACAAAAAAAAAAAAAAAAGAAAAGAAAAAACACAACAAAAAAAAAAGAAAAAAAAGATAAAAAAAAGAAAGAAACGAAAAGAACAAGAAAAAAACAAAAACGAAAAACGAGAAAAAACAAAAACAAAAAAAAAAAGCAAATAGGAATATCAAGGACAAAGAGCAAACAGAAAGAAAAAGCAAAAAAATAACACAAAAAAAAAACATCAACAGACATAATAAAATAATAAAAACAACAAAAAAAAAAAGATGAAAGAGCAAGATTGGAAAAAAAACACAAAAGTAATAAGAAACAAAAAAATAAGAAAAACACAAAAAAAAAATGAAAAGTCAACTAAATAAAAAAACTAGTGAAATAAAGGTAAGCAAGCACAAAATAAGATAGAAACATAAGAAAATAACAAAAGAAAAAAATGAAAACAAAACAACGAAAAAAAAAAAAGCCAGCAAGAACAAAAAATTAGTACACAAGACAAACACACAAAAAGGAACGTAAAAAAAAAAAAACCAAAAAAAAAAAAAAAAATGAAATAAAAAAAAAAAAACCACGAAACACCCATAATCATTACCAACACTACACCCCACACACAAAAAAAAAAACCCAAAAAATAAAACCAAAAACGAACCAAACCTAACAAAAACCACACAAAGAACAAAACACAAAAAAAAAAAACCAAAAAATGTTAAAACGACACGATAACAAAAAGAAAACAAAAAAAAAGAAAAAGGAAATAAACTAAAAAACAACAAGGAAAAAAAAAAAAAAAAAAAAAAAGTAAGCAAAAGTATAAATAAAAAAAAAAAAACAAGAAAAAAATATACAGGAAAAAAAAAAAACAAAAAAAACAAAAAAAACAATAGCAAGAAAAAAAAAAAAAAGAAAAATTATAAAAAAAACAAACAAAAACAATAAACAACAAAGAAAGAAAGAAACCCAAAAAAAACACAATAAACACACCAACATAAAATAAAGAATAAAAAACAAAAAAAAATAAAAGAAAAAAAACAAAAAAAATAAAAAAAGAAATCAAATAAAAAAAAAAAAAGCAAAATCAAAAAAATAAAATAAGCAAATACAAACACCAAAAAAACATTAAAACAACAAAAAAAAAAACAAACAAAAAAAAAAATATATAAAAAACAAAATAAAAAAATAAAAAATAGTAAGAAAAACATATACTCCCCACCCCCCCCTTCCCCACACCCCCCACCCCCCCCCCCCCCTCGTTGTGAAAGACCCCTTACATTTCCCGACTGCCTAGCTTCCATGTCACTATATTATAATGTACAGCAGCATGCACAAAAGCAGTGAAAGCACTGAAGTGAAATACTAATGGCAAAAAGAGAGTGTACATATTTAACCCTTGGCGCGCATGCGCAGCGAGGGTTACTTTAGTTGGTCTGTGTGTCTGTCTGTCTGCACCAAAACTCCCTTCACAAGCCATGAATCACTCAACAAACAATACCACACATATTCAGCGTTAGCTATAGGTCGAAAAGTATGTAGGAGTTTCTCTGAAACTGCTGCATTTGGGAGTTAAGGCATGAAACACGAGCGAGAAAGCCAATATGCGAATTAGAACAGGCTTACACCTCGAGTGGGTCCGCTTGCTATGTGTTTCTTGAAGCGCACAAGAAGTCACAACGAAGGGCGTGTATCGACTCCCGCATGTTATTTAGTAGTGTAGCTAGCCCGTTACTGAGCAGACCACGAGTCAGTACAACAGTAAATGGCCCAGCCCATCAATTAGCAGTAAGCACATGAGTGTACTTACCTCGTGCGTGTTTCTATAGCCTCGATGTTTGGAAATCTGTTCTCATATGCGCGAGATATTCCGTAAAACAGTTTTAACATAGGCTAAAATGCAGAAAGAACATTTACCAAGCTTATGGTTGAGCTAAAAACATGGCGAATGCACAGCGAAAGATGTGCCTCACTTGGTAGCATGCTTTACCTTGTCTGCAGCCTTTCACATAGGGCTGTGTAGGTCCGTCTTCCTCAACTTTGCTTACATGGAACCCTTCTCTAGCAAGCACGTGCATCTCTGCCGAGGGTTTGCCGAGTGCTTTTCATTTTATCTGTGCTACAATGTGTGTGCCATGTCATGCAGGGATGAAACTTTACTCACTGGTGGTGTGACCGTGGTAGGTAGCTATATATACTAGACAAACCACTACAGCAATACCTTTGCATATAGCTCTTATTTCTTTGCGTGGGCGGATCAAAGGCGCCGCCAGTACTATATTCGTCATACAGAACACTTTGCTCGTCATAAAGAACACTTGCTCATATAGCACAGTTTTGAAAATGCAGTAGTACAAACGGTTGCCAAATTGGGCTTTTCAGGCAAGGGAGAGATGGGTACCACAAGTGTATCTAAGGGCTAGAAGGTAAGCTAGCACGGCTCTGCGAGGCTAGAGGGGGCCCACATCGGTGCATAGTCGATCGATAGCTTTCCCGCCCACGGCAAGCATGTTTGCCCACACAGTACAGCACCATGTATTGATGAGTGTATCCAAACTAACTTGCATGTTGTTAACCCTCGGCACGCGCATGCGCAACGAGGGTTACAGTAGTCGTTCTGTCCGTCTGTTACCACGATTTCTGCCACCACGGTCAACAAACAGGTAAAATAGCGACACCAGCGGGTTCAGCGCTACACTGGCTTTATTTTAAAATAGGCGATTTTCGTAAAAGTGCCGCGTTCAGAAGTTATGGCGTGAAAACCAATTGAACAAGCCAATATGCTAATTAGCACTGGCTTACCTCGACCTGATCCGCTTGCTCTGTGTACCTCGGAGGCACAAGAAGCCACAACGAAGGGCGTGTATCGACTCCCGCATGCTATCTACTACTGTAGCTAGCCCATGTCAGACTCGCGAGCTACTAGCGGGAGATCACGAGTAAACGTATACTAGTATAATAGGCCCAGCCCATCAATTAGCAGTACAGCGCATGCGCAGTTCGCCGAGGGTTTGCACTTTAGTGCTTTTCATTATGTAATGATCACAAAGCTGCTGATTCAGCAAAACCAAGACTGTCACCAGATCCTAGACCTTTCAGAAGGCAGGGTCTGAGTACGAGACTGCTCTGTGGTTTGAGTATCAGCCACTTTAGCTCTGTCGTGAAACTGAACAGGCTGTATGTCACAGAAGCCACTGACACTGAGTAGTCTTTGTTCTGTGCAAGTGTCTTGAATGTATTGAGCACAAATGGGCAATTACTGGATAGTGGGTAACAGTTGTCAGTAAAAGATATACCTGGCAAGACACCCAACACTAAACCCATAGTGCCCCGGAGAAGCACACACAAACTGATCCATAGCTGTCAAGCCTGACCATAACAATGATGCTAAAGTTTTGTTTATTGAGTGTGCATGTCTTGCTGATAACGAAGCTCCACCTTCTTTGCTCCCTCCCTCTCCCTTTCACCCCTCCCTCCCTCCCTTCCCCCCTCCCTCCCTTCTCCTCAGGTCACAAAGGTACAGGCATCATTTGACTTTGAGCCTCAGGAATCCGGAGAGCTGCGATTACGCAAAGGAGACATCGTCACAGTGCTGGACAAGAGCGATCAGAACTGGTGGAAGGGGTCGTGTAATGGCCAAGAAGGAATGTTTCCTGTACCCTACGTAAAGGAGATGAAGTAGCTCCTCCACTATAGCTCCTAAACTACGGACATTTACATCTGTATAGGCAATTTCTCCCAAGTTTGTCTTATAATGTATCCTGTGTTGTGCACATGCTGTTGGTTATTGCTGTAATGTATTATAATTCAATGTGCCTTTTTTGAGTCCTTGCTGGTGTAGATAACCTTAGACTTGTTTAAGAATGAGTTATATTTTCTGTAAAACATTTTGTAATAATTATGGGAAAAACCACATTGATTCACATGGTTTGTTCTTGGTTGTATCAAGCGTTTTCACTGCGCATGCGCATTACTTAATAAGCAATGGCGTCGTCCGGCGGGGCAGAGTGCCGTAAAATTCGGCTGAGGAAGCCGGCCTCAAAGAGCGATGAACGCAAGGAGCAGAAGAACAGTGAAAATGATAATCTAAATACCTCTGATACCGTTGCTGATGATAAACCTTTGGACAAGCCTGTGGACGTAAAGAAGATTGAGCCAGGATCCTACTGGCTGACCAGAGTTGTCTTCGTCAGAGCCATCGGCTTCCTCTACTGTAAACAGCCTGCGTGCATGCACACACCTCCCACACACCTTTATCAGTCCTCTATAATACTTTGACCAGCCTGCATGCATACACCTTTGCCCGGGCCCTCAGCTTCCTCTACTGTAACCAGCCTACATACCCAATGTTTCCATAGATAGAGCTTGCCTTATTGAGAGTAGAGAGCTGGTCATTTTGTGTGGAGCCCGAGGGGTGTAATTATTGTACGAATGATATTATTGTTCTTCGTTCAGTTGTAGCATTTCTGGTTGCTCTGAACCAGAATAAGGAGCTGCTGGGTAGGAATGGTCTCTTACCAATCCCTGCATACCTCTCTCGACTGAGGAATCACTTTCAGGTCACCACCATGCATGAGCAGTTCATGATCACTTCTAATTATTATGTTGCAGGTGCCTGGAAATGTAAGTGTCAACCTGGCAGCATTGTCTGCTGTACCAAGTGTCCTGTGGTGGGTGCCTGAGGAGGCTACTGACGTGGCCCTCGATGCCATGGCGTACACTGGCCTGGGACTGTCTACACTCGTGCTTGTCTTGGGGGCCGGGAATGCCGTCACCTTTACTGTTCTCTGGGTCCTCTATCACTCCATAGTCAACGTAGGCCAGCGCTGGTGAGCAATGTACACTCTATCTTGTTTCTCACGCTTCTCTTTGTCCCTTATATCCTCCTTATCTTCTCTTTTCTCTTACATGAGCATGTGTTGTTTGATTGTCACATACAGGTATTCATTTGGTAAGTCACAACCTCTATCTAATCTGTAATGTGATTGGGTTTTCCCACGTTCACCTCCTGCCGTACTGGGTGAGTGAGGTTGGGAGTCTCAGTTGCTGGAGACTGGTTTCCTGGCCATATTCCTGTCCCCCGTCCTCTCCCTCTCCCGACTACCTCTCAACTCCCCCACCCCCTGGGTCGCCGTGTGGGGCTATCGCTGGCTCGTCTTCAGGATATTGCTGGGAGCTGTACGTGGAGACTTGTACAGTGGAACCTCCGATAAGGGACCCTCTGAGATAGGAATGACCTCTTTACAAAGGACACTTGCTTCAACCCATGCTAATAATTATATACAGTGGGTCCCCGTTAATGTCATACCCGCGGTGCATCCAAAAAATATGATAATATGCGGGATATTCTATGATGCGGGTGTGTATACTCCAGGTGTGTATACTGTGTATATTGTTAACTAGATAGCGCACAATGCAGTTTGTTTAGCTAAGCTAATGAAAAGCACTAAAGTGCAAACCCTCGGCGAACTGCGCATGCGCGGTACCACTAATTGATGGGCTGGGCTTTTCTTTTCTTTACTCGTTGTATCGCGCTAGTAGCTCGCGGAGAGTCTGGCACGGGCTAGCTACAGCAGTAGATTGCATGCGGGAGTCGATACATGCCCTTCGTTGTGACTTCTTGTGCCTTCAAGATGCACAGAGCGCGCGGACGCAGTCGAGGTAAGCCTGTGCTAATTACCATATTGGCTTGTTCACTTGGTTTTCACGGCATAACTTTAGAACGCAGTAGTTTTACGAAAATCGCCTTTTTTAAAATCAACCCAGTGTAGCACTGAACCCGATCATATCGCTATTTACCTGATTTCGTGCGCGCGGTGGCAGAAAACGTGGTAACAGACAGAATGAAAAGCACTGAAGTGCAAACCCTCGGCGCACTGTGACGCGCACGCGTAAGTAAACGCATGCGCCGTACCACTAATTGATGGGCTGGGTTTACTTTTAGCTGTTACTCGTGGTCTCTTGCCAGCTCGCGCAGAGTCTGACGCGGGCTAACTACACTACTAGATAGCATGCGAGAGGCGATACACGCCCTGCGTTGCATCTTCTGGTGCATCCGAAGTACGCAGAGCACGCGGATCGATCCGACTGTGGTAAGCCATGCCGTCCGTTGTGTATTTGCATATTGGCTTTTTCGCGCTCTAGCTATGCAACGGAGCATTTTCAGAGAAAACCGCCTCTATTTTCTGACCTTCGTCGCCCGTTGGGTAGATGGTATCGTTCCTGGGACGAACAGACGTTCGAGGAGTGAGATATAGAGTAACAGACACACAGACACACAGACCCAAGTACTGTAAACCTCGCTGCGCATGCGCACCGAGGGTTAATGACAGACTGACAGACGGACAGACTGACACACTTACGAAACAACTACCGTAACCCTCGCTGCGCATGCGCGCCGAGGGTTAATGAAGCTAGGCTAGCCTAACTGTTTACATAAGCTAATGAAGCCAGGTGGAGAATGGAGAGTTGCAAAACTCCAGCCCAAGGTTGTAGAATGCCTAATTACGCATGCGCAATAATGACAATTATGCGGGCAAAAACCAAAATTGCTAAATTTTTCTATGATAATAGGCGGGATATGACATTATCCGTATTGTATAAAATGGAGTAAAATGTATGGGAAAGCATAAGTAATGGTTTTGGATTTCAGGTTTGTATGATTATAAACGGGATATTCTATTAAACGGTATGATATTAAGTGGGACCCACTGTACTTAGTTTATTATTTGACCTCCAAGATATGGACGACCTCTCTACAAGGGTCAATATCGTCGGCCCCATAGTGTCCCTTGTTCGGAAGTTCCACTGATGTACTGATTACTAGCATGTTCAGGCCACACTTGCAGAGTTCACTAGATTTGTCAGTGGCCAGCTGTGTAGCATCTAGTTTTGTTCTATCACAGGGGCTGATAAAGATCCGAGGTGATCAGTGCTGGAGAGACCTGACATGTATGAACTACCACTATGAGGTACGTACCACAGTTTTATATATGCTCTGTTGGAAGCTATTGTTTGTGTGTCCAGACCCAGCCAGTGCCCAACCCACTCAGCTACTATCTCCACCAGTCACCGGAGGCCATCCACCAGCTGGAGACTCTGGGGAACCACGTGGTGGAACTGGCTGCCCCCTTCCTCATCTTCCTCCCCAGACAATTCAGGATGGTTGGTGGAGCCATACAGATACTCTTCCAGGTGTGACACTTCTGCACCATGTTGTTAGCGTCTGTGTGTGATTAGTCAGTTTTTGACTGGCATCATTATGAACTTGATACACCACAGAGGTCACTACTCCGGGTTGTATTCTCGCGATATGCGTACGTACGTACGTGTCGTCACGTTTAAGAATGGCAATTAGTCACGCTTAGGAATGTCACACCCGTCATTCGTAGGAAGTCTAGCTTCCTTCGTGCGCGCAGATTCTTAGGAAGTCTGGCTTCGCGCGCAGTCAGTAGAGCGCGCGCACGATCGGCCTCAGTCAGAGTGTTTACGCATTGGCTGGCAGGTGCGAGGCAAAATATGCACGTGCGCATTCCTAGTTAAGAATATAAATTTTTAGAGGGGGAGTGAATACCTCAAGTATACAGTGGAACCTCCGAACAAGGGGCACTATGGGGCCAACGATATTGTCCCTTTTAGAGAAGTTGTCCCTATCTCGGAGGTCAAGTAATACACTAAGCAGCTATTAGCCAAGTGGTTGAAACAAGTATCCTCTCTGAAGAGGTCGTCCCTGGGAGAGTCCCTTATTGGAGGTTCCACCGTTACTGTTGTTTGCATGTTTGACTGTGTGCACGTTTTGTATGAACGCGTCAATCTCATCAGAATCATTGGATTAGGTGATTCTGATAGTGAGTGGGAACCTGAGTTTCCTCAACTGGCTGACTCTCATCCCTGCCATCTTCTGTTTCGATGACAAGTCTCTGGCCTGGCTGTTCTCCTCTGCCACCAGACACAGAGTGTTTGAAATACAGCAGCACTGGCTACACACCAAGACCAAGCCGCTGGGTAAAATGTGTGGTGAAGCGCTCGCCTAGAGAGCCGAGTCTCGTGGGTTCGAATTCCACTTAGGGTGTGACTTGTTTGCTTTGCCCTTTCTACCCCGCTTTGTTGTTGACTCATGCTAAGATAACGATTTACATTAGCTACATGTTTTTAGTATTGAAGGGCGTGCATTTAGATTTCAGTGCTTACTACAGACAGTATGAACGTTGTCTTCATGCTTTGAGGGTATTGTCGCTCCACTGAAACAGTCACCGGAACTCTTTCTGTGTAGGGTGGTACATTCGGCAGGCCTCGTCGCTAGCCCTGGCAGGGCTCCTGGTCTACCTGAGTGTCCCAGTGGTCCAGAACCTCCTCTCCTCCCGCCAGCTCATGAACACTTCCTTTGACACTTTCAGGATCGTCAATACCTACGGAGCCTTTGGCAGGTGGCTATTACTCTATCCCCCTGTCAGTGGGCAATGGTTATGTGTTTATAAATTATTGGTCTCAATTGTCGTCAGTGTAACAAAGGAGAGGACAGAGGTCGTACTGGAAGGAACGTACAACAGCTCTGTGGGTCAGAGTGGAGAGAGGGCACAGTGGCTGGAGATTGAGTTCAAGTGTAAGCCGGGGAGTGTTGGACGTCGGCCGTGCCTCATCTCACCGTACCACTACCGCCTGGACTGGCTCATGTGGTTTGCTGCCTTCCAGGTATACAGTGGTTGAACTAGTGGCAAAGTGGTAGTTTGCTGCTTGGATATACAGTACATTCTTTTAAGTTAGCTATACATTTTCACCTTATTTCTATCCACTCCTAACGTAAGTCCACAGCACCATATTATATAGGATTTGACAAGTGTGTTATGGTTGGATCCGACTTGCTTTTTTGCTCAATCACGTCCAGTCCTACCAACACAACCCATGGCTGCTGAACTTGGCTGGGAAGATACTGGCTGGAGATCCCTCGGTCAACTCTCTACTGGCACACAACCCCTTTGCCGAGACACCCCCCAAGTGAGTTAATGTGTACGACTATGGTGTTGAGTGTTTCCCAAGATGACACAGCTTCCATGATCTTTGGTAACTCAGCTATGATAAAAGCCCTTTCTGGCAGTTGTAGCCGCATGATATCACTGGGATGCTATTGTGGTGTATGGCCAGGTGTGTGTAGCTACTTGTAATGACCGTAGGCAGTAGACCCCAGTAATCCTTATGTGCTAGTGAATTTTACGTGTGACCTTTCACTGGTTCAGCTGTTTAACAACTCAACCTGGTGCAAAATGAGGGCTGGGGACAAGGCTGAGCTGACCATAGAAAATTGAGAGATGGGCTTTTACTGAGGTTATGTTAAGCGTTCCTCTCGCCATGTAGCTAATAGGCTATTATGTGTAATTCTTGTTGTATAAAACTTTTATTCACTCTGGTATATAATTTCTCCGTGTTGAGCTAACTTTTCCATGTAGGTATGTGCGTGCTGTTCACTACCGTTACCAGTACACAGAGCTGGGCAGTGAAGCAGCAGGGAGAGGGGAGTGGTGGACCAGAAGACTCCTCCAGAAGCCCTACCTCCCCATAGTGTCTGAGGAGCAATTGAGACCTGTCATTGAGGCCCAGGGCTGGCACTGGTACATTCCTGAGCACGCCTCTGACTGAGCCTGCTGCAATAGGCAATAGCTGTTATTCCCCTGTTCTTTGAGTTCCCTAGAATACAGTGGAACATGAATGATAGGCTTGCTAGTCCCTTGACTATTACACTTCCTGGACCTCATTTGTATAAAAATCACCAGTTAACCGTCAAAAATTCCTACATGTCCTGTTCCATGTAAATATGTATCTGACATGGAACAGGACATGTAGGAATGTTTCATCTCCCAACAAGTTGTCAAACTAACACTGTAGAACGTGAGTAAGACAATTGCGCACATATGTGCGAATGTGTGCGCAACTTCTATTTTAATGCACATTTTCCCCGCTCTTTTAGAAATGAATGGGACCCGAACTCATGAATACCATAATGATGCATTAAAACAAAGCCTACAAAATCGAAAAATATTTTCCTTGTTCCTTGGCATAGTAGAGTTTAACCCATGAAGTTTAAAAAAATCAAAAAGGTAGCCCCTTAATGTGCATCTCTTCCAAATGCAGTGAAACATATCAGAATGTTGGTAGATGCTCTCATGATACATTTCTCATTTCACAATTCATGTTTCATTTTCCATCATTTGCTCTCTCTTTCTCATGTCAGTTTGTTCCAATCTGTAAGGGTAGCATACCACACCGGAGTTTGCTGAACCAGTTTCACTTCTTCTTTGAATTAGGGTAGCCTCTATATTTTTCTGAATGCTAGCTATTCAGTTACACCTCTGCCGTGACAAGAACTATGACTTTTTATCTTCCCAGTCTTGCATTCATTATGTGGAAGACTGAAGGTGCGTATAAAGTCTTTGGGATCGTGTATAGCTAGATATTAGCCCTAGCAAGTCATTCTCACCCATTTTGAGGCAATTTGTATGAGGATCACGTGAGATTTGACCTGCGCCATCACTATAATTATTATTATTATGAACCGTCTAAAGGTGCTCTAATTTCGGGGGCATGGCTGGCTAGCATTTCTAGGCGTAGATATGTTGTTGCCGCTTTATAATTATTATTTCAGTCACTTTGATTTTTCTTGTACTTATATACGTTAATTTAGAGACTTGGATATGTTGTGAAAATGGCTACGTTGAACGCTCTGCGAGTAGCATCGCCGTAATCCGCCTCAATCAGAGAAAGAGCTCAACATTTATGGTCCTTCGAGCCGGATACCAGACGAACCAGCGACTATCGGATGGTTCTTTCTCTCACACACCTTCGTTCTTCGTGAAACGACGATACTCGACTGACCACGTGTGATCACACTTGTCCTGGTCTCTCACCCTTACTCGTTGACAATGAGCAACATCTCCACCCTTAGAAGGAGAAGAGGCGTCGTCCGCGCCAGCATAACACGTCTCACCAATCGTTTGAAGGATTTGGAGAAAGATGCTGACCGACCAACGACCCTTGACCTCGCACGCGGAATGACACGCAAGTTAGACGCCCTCGACTCTGACTTTCGTACGCATCATCACGCCCTCATCGACTTAATCGACGACGAAGAGACGCTTCAAAGAGAGCAAACCACGTTGGATCGTTGGATGAACACGGCGACTTTGTTGCTGAACTCGCTGCTCGTATCACACAACTCATCACCCTTTGTGCCTCCTCGTCGGACTCCTCGCCTCGTAAGATTGCGTCTCGGAAACTGTCTCACCTACGGAAGACCTTGTCATCAATCAGCGAAGCCATCGCCTCGTCCAATCGAAGCACGGACCCCTGCCTCCTACGACAATATGGGGAGCAACTCATCGATATCAAGAAGGAACTAACCGACATTCGCAACAGTCTTTGGCCTTTCGACCTAAACGAAGCTGACACATTGTGTACCTCACAGGCCACCTTGGAGAAAATGGTCTTCGATTGCTCGTTACAAATCAAGAAGTTGTTGCATCAATTAACTGATGCCTCCTCTTTGACTTATGATGGGAAAGGAGTCAAGCTACCAAAACTGGAGGTACCTACCTTTGACGGCAATATCTTGAACTGGCGATCATTTTGGGAACAATTCTGTGTCTCTGTACACGATCGTTCCTCTCTCTCGGACCCCGAGAAACTCAACATTCCCTGAAGAATGGTTCGGCTAAGAAGCTCATCGAAGGTCTCTCCCGCTCTGGTGAGTTCTACGTTTAAGCCATTGAATGCCTGAAAGCTCGCTATGATCGACCCCTTTTGATACACCAGACCCACGTACGAGAGTGATCATGGAAGCTCCGGCTCTGAAAGACGGCACTGGAAGAGAACTGCGTCACCTACATGACACTGTTCAGCAACACCTCAGAGCCCTCAAAGCGATGGACTATGAACCGTCTGGGCCGTTCATCACATCAGTGCTTGAGCTGAAGCTTGACGTGAACACAATGTTCGAATGGCAAAGACACAGCCAGGACGACCCCGACGTTCCTCATTATCGCAAGCTGCTCGAATTCATCCATCTACGTGCTCAAGCATCCAAGACTCCACTACCAAATCGAAAGCGGAACGAATCTCACACCATGAGGAACAATGCTCAAACCACCAACCTGGTAACATCCTTCGCAACCAACGCCTCTGATTCTACTGCCGATTGCGTTCTCTGCAAAGGTGAGAAACATCCATTGTATGCCTGTGTGCGCTTCAAGGCCCTTGCACACGATAAGATGGTGTCCACATTGAAATCAAACAACTCTGCATGAATTGCCTGAGGTCTGGACATTTCGTCAAGCAGTGCAAGTCCGCCCATCGTTGCAGACAATGTCAGAAGCCACATCACACACTTTTGCACTTTGAAAGTGAGCAAAGTTTTCCGTCATCAACTGGCACATCCGTCCAACCCGTCATGTCTAACGCGGCTGTGGGTCTCACGTCCAACTCTCTCCTGATCACCTGTCGGGTTCTGATCGACGCCCCAGATGGTTCTTCCATTGAAGCATGAGCCCTCCTTGACTCTGCATCGTCTGCCTCGTTCGTCTCTGAGCGTCTAACCCGGACACTGTCTCTCTCGCTCACATCGGAACACCAGGATCTCTGGAGTTGCTGGCCTGTCCCGCAATTTCCCACTCCAGTCGGTAGCCAACTTCAAGATCTCCCCCACGCATCTCCCCAATAGAAAGTTTGAAGTCTCGGCCGTTGTTGTACCACGTGTGACGTGTGATCTACCCGTCTCCTTGGACTCCTCGTGGAAGCACTTGGAAGACATCCAGCTCGCAGACCCTGACTTTGGCCGCCCTGGCAGGATCGATGTCCTCCTCGGTGTTGACATCTTTGTTGAAACACTCCTTCAGGGCTGGCGGATTGGACCTCCTGGTTCTCCCTCTGCATTCGAAACTGAGTTTGGTTGGGTTCTCGCAGGCCGTCTGGACGCGTCATCCCAAAGTACTCATGTTGCCTCGCATCATGCCTCGCTCACTACGAGAGACGACCTACTGCGTCGGTTCTGGGAGTTCTGGGTTTGAAGAAGGTCCGAAAGGTGAAACAATCCTCTCATCTGAAGAACGCTCTGTCGTACAGCATTTCAAAGAAAACCATCGTCGCACCAAGACTGGAAGATTCATCATTCCTCTCCCAAAAAGGCCAAATGCTAAGACACTGGGTGAATCCCGATCTCAAGCTGTAAGGAGATTCCTTACGCTGGAGCGCTCTCTGCGTTCCATAGACCAGTTTGGGAGTTTTAACGACGTGATGGAAGAATATTTCCAAATGGGACCTTGGAAAAGTCACAACAGGAAGTATTTTACCTCCCAATGCATGCAGTCAGAAAGGAGACCAGTTCTACAACAAAAATCCGAGCTGTTTTCGATGCGTCCGCCAAATCTTCGTGGGACCAACCGTACACTCTTCACTCATCGATGTGTTACTCAGGTTCCGGTTCCACCGTGTTGCGTTAACCACTGATGTCAGCCGAATGTACCGTGCAGTGGAATTAACCCTCCCCGACAGAGATCTTCATAGATTTGTCTGGAGAAGTGACCCGAATGAAAGCCTACGAGATTATCGTATGACACGCGTCACCTTTGTTGTCTCGGCATCTTCATTCGCCGCAAATATGGCAGTCAAGCAGAATGCACTCGACCTCACATTGGAGTACCCGAAAGCCTCAGTTGCTGTTGACTGGAGCCAACGCCGCTCGAGAAGCGATAGACCTTCAGAAACAGCTCCAAGACCTCTTCTCTAGTGGAGGATTTCTTCTACGCAAATGGAACTCCAGTGATCCCTCAGTCCTACAACACGTTCCGTCCGAGCTGAAGGAGACCCACTCCGTACAATCACTTCCAAGTCCTGATGATTACACAAAGACTCTCGGCATCGAGTGGAATGCTCATTTCGACCTTTTTCGGCTCACCGTCGCAGACCTACCTCCTCTCGAGAGCATCACTAAGCGAGTCCTGGTGTCTGACATCGCGAAAACATTTGATGTTCTTGGATGGTTCTCCCCTACGATCATCAAAGTCAAGATTTTGTTGCAACGCTTGTGGGAGCTCAAAGTCGACTGGGATGATCCCTTGCCTCCGGAAATTCGTGAAGTTAGGTTGCGATGGAGATCAGAGCTCAAGTGCCTCTCTGAACGACACATTCCTCGGTGCTACTTCCCAAAGGAAGCACACATAGTCGCTGTCGACTTACATGGATTCTCTGATGCATCTGAACGCGCATATGCTGGTGTTGTCTATCTCCGCATGATGGACTCTGACGGAAGAATCCACATCTCGCTCGTGACTTCCAAAACGAAGGTCGCCCCCATTAAGCGTCTGACCATCCCTCGTCTCGAGCTATGTGCCGCTCATCTTCTCGCACGGTTACTTCATCACGTCCAGAACACCTGTGGTCTACCTCTCAATTGTGTCTATGCCTGGACTGACAGTACCATCGTCCTCAGTTGGTTAGTCGGCAACCCACGACGTTTCAAGACGTATGTTGGGAACAGAATTTCTTACATCCTGGAGCTAACTTCGCCCGATCGATGGAATCACGTCGATGGAGCTGACAACCCTGCAGACTGCGCATCCAGAGGACTCCTACCCTCAGAGTTGCTAGGACATGGGTTGTGGTGGGATGGTCCCAAAGTGGTTGAAGTTGCCCTCATCTGAATGGCCCAAACAGTCGTCGCTCCCGGACGTGGATCCATCAGGAGAAGAAAGAGAAGTCTGCGTCCACGCAACTACTCAACAACGAGAGCCACTCATCCCCCTTGATCGATACTCAAATCTCACCCAGCTTAAGTACGTCACAGCCTGGGTATTTCGGTTTGCAAACAACTGTCGCGTCCGAAGAGATCAGCGAGACACTCTGCCACACCTATCAGTCCAAGAAAGTACTCAGAGCGGAAACGTATTGGCTAGTGTTCTCACACGAAGAGCGATTCGGAGAAGAAATCGATGCCCTCAAACAAATCAGGTCTTATCCAAATCTAGTCAACTACTCACTCTTCATCCGATCATAGATTCTGATGGTGTCTTACGTGTCGGCGGCAGACTACGAAACTCTCAACTTCACTACTCCACTCGACACCCTGGCTATCCTTCATGGAAAGCATCAAGTCACGAAGTTGATCATCCAATTGGAGCATTTGCGCCTGCTCCATGGTGGTCCCACTTTAGTCGCCGCGTCACTTTGCACTCTTTGTCACATCATTGGATCCCGCAAGACTATTCGTTCTCTGGTTCGTGGATGTTTCACTTGCCGGAGAAGGTCCGTAAGACCTCAGCCTCAAAGGTTAGGTCAGCTACCAGGTGAACGAACTACTCCTGGGTCCGTTTTCGACAATGTTGGTGTGGACTATGCCGGTCCCGTGTACATCAAGTACGGCTTCGTTCGCAAACCTACTGTTGTTAAGGCCTATATCTGTGTCTTCGTTTCATTCTCGGTCAAGGCCGTTCATCTGGAACTGGTGTCGGACTTAACGGCCGAGGCATTCATCGCGTCACTCAGACGATTCATCGCTCGTCGTGGCAAGCCATTGACTATTTGGAGTGATCATGGCACCAATTTCGTCGGAGCCGCACGGGAACTAAAGGAACTCGCCAAGTTTCTCGAAACAACGTAAAACACAAAGCATTGCCTCCGAATTTTGCACTTCCCAGAACATTGAATGGAAATTTATACCTGAACGTGCCCCTCACTTTGGTGGCCTCTGGGAGGCAGCGATGAAAGTCACACCTCAAACACGTGATCAACAACACGAAACTGGCATTTGAAGAATTTTCCACTGTCTTGACTCAAGTAGAGGCATGCCTAAACAGTAGGCCACTCACTAACCTACCCCCCACGCCTGTGAGAGCGACACCATTGAGGTTCTTACCCCAGGTCACTTCCTCGTCGGGAAACCCCTAGAAGCTCTTCCAGACCCTTCTCTCTCCTACCGTTCAGTCTCTCTCCTCCGTCGATGGCACCTATGCCAGTCCCTAGTTCGTCACTTTTGGAAGAGGTGGTCGTCCAAGTACGTTGCTACCCTCTGTCGTTACACCAAGTGGCACCAGCCCAAAAGAAATTTACGAGTTGGAGACATTGTTGTGTTGCAAGAAGACAATGTCATCCCTGCGACGTGGCCTTTGGCACGCGTCGTGGAGGTTCATCCCGGGAGTGACGGACTCGTTCGCGTCGTCACAATCAGGACCAGCGCTGGTGTATACAAGAGACCCGTCACAAAGCTAGCTGTGCTTCTACCTCGAGATAGAACACTTACGGACACATCATGGTATCATTTAATATGGCTTGTTAGTTATTGTATTTCTACTTAAGACTGTCCGGTCTTGGCCGGCGGTATGTTGCCGCTTTATATTTCAGTCACTTTGATTTTTCTTGTACTTACGTTAATATAGAGACTTGGATAAGATTTTGTGAAAATGGCTAAGTTGAACGCTCTGCGAGTAGCATCGCCGTTATCCGCCTCAATCAGAGAAAGAGCTCAACAACCACGGTTGACTATGAATTATTCCCAAGCCTATTCAGTTTGATGATCGTTTTAGCCATGCAGTTCATTCTGCGGCTGTATGTTACTAAAAGGAGGATTTTCTGAAGTTCAACGAATACCCCAGGAAACAATACAGACTTCGCCCATCCAAATCTCAATTAGTGTAACAAATAATAATGTGTCCCAATAGAAATTAACACCTGTATCAATAATATACCTGAAAAAACTTAAATAGGGCCATCGCTGGAGTACTTTTATCATCCGTAGGATACAAACCACCCAAAATGGAGTATATCTGGAACACAGAACAACAATGGTCAATTTTTGGTACATAATATAGAGATTAGAACAGGGTGCTCAGGGTGGCATGGCTTGTATATTGCTTGAGAGCGACAAGCATTAATTATAGCAAGGGTCTCTTTAGTAGTGCAAGCAATATCTCCAAATCACAATATAATATACATGGTTGCATGGAAGATCAAATGATGTTGAAATGGCACTAAAGTGCAAACCCTCGGCGAACTGCGCTTGCGCGATACCGCTAATTGATGGGCTGGGCGGTAGTACGTGTTTACTCGTGGTCTCCCGCTAGTAGCACGCGGAGAGTCTGACACGGGCTAGCTACAGTAGTAGATAGCATGCGGGAGTCGATACACGCCCTTCGTTGTGACGTCTTGTGCCTCCAAGGTACGCAGAGCAAGCACATCTTGTTGATGTAAGCCCGTGCTAATTTGCATATTGGCTTGTTAACTTGGTTTTCACGCCATAACTTTTGAACGCAGCATTTTTACGAAAATCGCCAGTTTTAAAATCAAGCAAATGTAGCGCCGAACCCGTTGGCGTAGACTTTTGGCGATCTTGTTGCGCCTAGTGGCAGAAGACACACAGACCAAGTACTGTAATTACCCCTCTAGCGCATTTGCGCCAAGGGTTAATGAAGTGTTGAGAAAGTTACTGCATACCTGTGTGTTGTAGCAGGCATCTCCAAATCCCAGAAGAAAGGCACAAACCATTGCAATGTATAAGCTGAAGAGTAAGACAAGAGTAAGACAAAAGTAAGCAAATACACACTTAGTGGGAAATTAATGCACATGCAGCACTCTTCTTTAGCATAAGGATGGCAATGTATTACATTTAAAACCTCCCTTGTAGTGTCGATTAGGCAAACCCTCAAGGAACTGCGCATGCGCGATACCGCTAATTGATGGGCAGGACTATTAGTATGCGTTTACTCGTCGCTAGTATGCTTAGCTCGCAATGAGTCTGACATGGGCTAGCGATAGCAGCATGTGGAAGTTGATACACACCATTCGTTGTGACTTCTTGTGCCTCCAAGGTACACAGAGCAAGCCAACCCGGTCGAGGTAAGCCTGTGCTAATTTGCATATTGGCTTGTTCACTTGCTTTTCACGCCATAACTTTTGAACGCAGTAGTACTTAGTTAGTCTAGCGATGAACCCGTTGGTATCGCTGTTTTGTTGCACGTAGTCGCAGAAAACGTGGTAACCGACAGACAGACAGACAGACAGACGGACAGACAACCAAGTACAGTAATCCTCGCTGCGCATGCGTGCAGAGGGTTAATAAAGTAGAATATTTTGTCCTGTGAATTTTTTTCCAACAAGCATTTCCCAAAAATGGAAACCATGACATTATGATACAAGTAATTATAGATGGTGAATATAGGGATGGAATAAATTAAAGGAGACAAGACAGATTATGACCTAGCGTATGTCATGCTATAATGGCTCCATACTTGAAACTGACATTGCTTGGCTTGTGACATTTTCCCAATATACAAGTTCCATATTGTCGCAAGCCTGGGCATGTTGCCTCGTAATACATGACTATTCCTCAGCACATGAATGGACAAGTATATGCTCATGTGTTGCCCGAGCCTTCTGACAGCTTCTCAGTATGAGTTGTAACTGGCATAGTGAAGACCTTCCTTTGCCAGTCCTGGCACACCACATACGCCACTGGACAAACTCATGTCAGTACGGTGAGCATACAAGGCTTGTGTGCAGAAATGTTTTCATTCAGCAGCAAGTCAATGTCATGGGTGGTGTGGTTCCTCTAAGCAGTGCTTCACCGCTAATTTAATTCGGTTCCAACTCCTCTAGCTTGAGCGGTGGATAGAACACGCACACAGGAGGTACGTATATACTAGTTTTCAATGGTGAGCTGCTTTGGAAAAGCGCCAAAGGCAGAATTATTCTGTGCAAGTCTCACACATGGGTTTATTAGTTCATGTTGCTGCTTCTATCATTCTGGAATGCAGTGGTTTAGTGGCTAATTTATGATGGTTGGTGGAGCCTTTTCAAGGACCATAGTAGCTCCACTTTCACCATACCCACTGACTTAGTTTTATACTGTGAATTGTTTTATTTTTGCCAGTCCTGCTTTAGCTATAACCCAATGTCATTGTGTATTGGGTTGGGGTGCTTATTATGATTTGCATAGAAATAATGGCCAGCAAGTGCTTATCATAACTGTTCACAGTGGTGTTTGTACTACTAGCAGTGTCTACGTATCATAATATCTATTTGTTTGAGTGTTTTCGTTTTACGGCAAGTTGATATTGTACGCGTACAAGCTTTTGAATAAAGCATAAAGTGTCCAGCTACATACATTATTCATGGTTTTAACCCTGTTATGTGCGGCTTCATCACAACATGCCGGTGTGCAGAGGAGATGTGAAATCTTACAAATGTCGCATGGCGAATTGTTATTAAGGGCCCATGAAGGGACTACAGCTATTTTGGCACACAGCTAAAAAATGTTCACGTCCAGGACTTTCTGTGTGACATTGTTTCAATTTCCTTTGCTTGTTTTCAAAACCTACTGGAAAAGTCTGCTAGATCGCTACCGTTTACGGTGTACGCATGGAATCATTC